AAAATTTTTAAAAATTTTAAAAATTTAAAAAATTTTAAAAATTTTAAAAATTTTATAAATTTTATAAATTTTATAAATTTCAAAAATTTCAAAAATTTTAAAAAAGAATTCCAGATCCCCAGAGGCCAAAATTTTTAAAAATTTCAAAAATTTTAAAAATTTCAAAAATTTTAAAAGTTTTAAAAATTTTAAAAATTATAAAAATTTTAAAAATTTTAAAAGAATTCCAGATCCCCAAAGGCCAAAGTTTTAAAAAAATTAAAAGTTGTAAAAATTTTAAAAATTTTTCAAGAATTCCAGATCCCCAGAGGCCAAAATTTTAAAAAAATTAAAAATTTTAAAGATTTTACAAAGAATTCCAGATCCCCAAAGACCAAAATTTTAAAAATTTTAAAACAATTCCAGATCCCCAGAGGCCAAAATTTTAAAAATTTAAAAAATTTCAAAAATTTCAAAAATTTGAAAAATTTTAAAAGAATTCCAGATCCCCAGAGAGCAAACAACCACTGGCCACAAAGCTTTCCCTGTAATTGCTCACATTAGAACCAGCAGTTACTCAAATAACGCAGAGAGGTCCTACGCACATAGCCCCTAAACCGTTGACATGATGAAACCGTCTAGCGGCCTCGGCCAATGCTCGTTATGCTTGGACAACGGCGCCACCCGTCGCGCCTGCATGGGACGGGCAAGACCGCCGCAGAACATGGAACAGATCTCGTCATGCCAGCCCTTTACCCCCCTAAACTCTCTACCCTAAGAGCCCGTAGCTCTACACTTTATATACTGTCAACCAATAGAGCCCGTAAGCCCTACACCCTGAATATTTTGTTGAAAGGCCCCGGCCAAAGGAGCTGTGGACAGTCTACACAGGCTCGCGGCTCAGGAAGCAGAGAGACCCCATACGCCTGTATACCCAGGCGAGAAGCAGAAACCTTATGCGGTCTAGGATTTAGGGAAGGGTGCGATTTCAGGATGTTCCTCTTTATGGATAGGGAATATTGTGGGTTCTGTGGGTAGGATGAGAGAGATCTGGGATCAGCCTCGTCTTACGTTATTGCTCGGGCTGAATGAAACCCTAAATCCTTAGCACCAACAATCAAAAATCCAAAGCCCTTGTAGCAACCCTTGTCGTCACGTTTCCAGAACCCTAAACCCTAAACCAAAGTAATGCTTGACGGAACCCTCGTAGCGTAGGGAATCAGGCTCGAACACCTTCGCAAAGGTGCATATTTTGACTTAAGCTTCTACAGAGGGTTCGATTAAGCTGCTAAAAAGCTTCACAAAGGTGCTGTAAAGGCTCCATACAGCGTCTATGTGGGTTTGAGCTTTCAAATTTCAGCGTTTTGTCAGAGCAGACAATGTTTTTGTTTCGTCGAGGGCTTCATATTTGGTTAGGGCCTATAGAGTCTAGGGTTGAGGGTCTACGGTTCAGTGTAAGGTTTAGGGTCTAGAAAACTAAGACTTACGGTGACGACAGCCCAACATACTTAAACCCACACGCCCAAGACAAATCGTGGAGCCCAAGTCATGAGAGGCGTCCATTGCACGATTCACATTTCTACTTACTCAAAATACCACATACCATAAACCCCTAAACCCTAAACCCTAAACCGCCGAAGCCCCCAATATTGGAAGCATTGAACTCGGCGAGGTAGGTCCGACCTCTTAAGTCTCTCGACCTTACACATTCACGGTTGCAGGGTTCAGGGTTTATATAAGGTTTAGGGCTTAAGGTTTAGAGGTTCAGGGTTCAGGGTTTGGGGTGGAGGGTTTCAGGGTTTAGGGTGTAGGGTTTGAGAAAGGGGCG